TGCAGTGGACCTGACGTCGCCTGGCACGGGTGCCCAGCCGACGACGTCCTTGACACAGCAGGATCTGTACGCCCGCGGTCCGTTCCTGCCTCGTCTGTCGTTGCAGCGATGCGTGCACGCGAGTCGCAAGCTGCTCGACATTGCCAAGCGCCGCCACGGCCAATCGGTCAACCCGAACCCGTTCAACTGCTGCAGCTTCGTGCTGATTAGCTTTGTGCTTCTCATGCAGGCATTGGCGGTGCACGGTGGCTTTGCAGGCGAAAGCGACACGGGCGAGCAGGGTGATCAGTCGTTCGGACAGCAGAACGGCTCGTCGAACGAGCTGCACGGCCACGGAGAGTACGCCAACGACAGCCTGCAGCGCGTGTTGGACCACACTGTCACGGACGACGATGGCATGATGGACGACTTCGAACCCTCGATCGACCCCGCCAAGCAGGCACAGTTGCGAGACATTTGGGGCCGCGTGCGCGAGGCGCGCGACACGCTCGTGGATCTGGGCAAGCACTGGGAGGCTGTGGTGCCCATGGCTGACGAGGTCAACCTGTGTCTCGAGACGTCGCAGCTGCTGCTCAGCAATGCGTACTAACTGCCGTTGCGATTGCGACACTGCGGGGGCTCTTCTTCTTCTCTGGGCTCTTTGCATCTTCTCTCTCTCTCTCAAAGGCTGTGAAAGGACGTTTGCAGATAAGTTGGCTGCCATTGCGAAACCGCGTCAAGGTGACGTTGTGCCGTCTCTGCGCTTGCCGTACGGAAATTTGAACCAGGAACATACGCGTGGCACGTGACTGAGTGTTGTTCTTGAGCCTTGATGAGTGTGTGTGCTTTCAGCCTTTTTGTTGGAAATTGGAGCGGCTGAAGACGCGCGCGCGCCGCTTTCTCTCTGCTGCAGCTCTCCACTCGTTTTTGCGTTTTGATGCAGAGCGATTCATCACTTTCCATGCCCGATGCTGCATGATCTGACGAATCGCCGCCGACTTTGATCAGCTACCACCATCACCCTCTCGATAGCATCAATCCAGCCGTCCTGCGGGCGTACATCAAGATAGGAAACGATACGCAATGATGGCATAGACATCGGCACGCCGAATCATCATCATTGCCGACAACGCGACGTCAACGTCCACATCCACGTCCACGTCCACTCGACGTCACGATCCACACTTGCAAACCCAACCCGCAAGCATCGCAGCATCCGCTTCTCGACGTGTCGCTCGGCGTCTGACACGATCCCCGGCGACGGATCTCCACTTGCCGATCCACTCTGATCAAGCATGGCCGACCGATTCGCGGCTCTGGCTGGCTACGATGCCGGCTCCCACTACGACTCGACGGTAGAGCAGAGCCTGGCTGCTGCTGCCAGAGAGGACTTGCCCGGCCTCGATACCGTGGCCAGCATCAACATCGACCTTCCGCCATCCAAGCCGCTCAACAGCACATTCGGCAAATCCAAAAAGCCGAGTGCAGCGGCCGAACGCGCGAGGCGCATCACTTCGGGTCCCATCGACCTCGCTGCCGCCGGTCGGTCTCGCACGCCGCCTCCGCACGATTCGTCCGCCACATCGTCCAACAAGGAGAACGCGCGCCACGACGAGCCTCCCTCCACGCAGCGCAAGCAGGAGCAGCGAAGGCACTACGGCGTGCGCATCGCCGACGACGACACATTCGAAGAGCTCGAGGACAGCCTGCAGAAGGGACACCAGCAGGATGAGCTCAAACGCATGCAGCAGGACATGTCGCAGGGCGGCGACTCTCTGCTTGCTGCTTCGCCGGGCAACGATTCGGGTCAGTGGGGTGCTCGTGCCATGCGTCGTCGCTCGGCTGCGGGTGTGTCGATGAAGTCGGCTCAGGAGAAGATCAACAGCCTCACGCAGGAGCGCGACGAGCTCAAGATTGTCGTCGATCTCTTGCGCGAGAAGGTATCGCTCGATGACCGTCTCGCCGAGCTGATTGTGCTCAAGAAGGAGAAGCTTTCGTACACCAACAAGATGATCGCGCAGCAGGCGATGCTCAAGCAGCAGGACCGCGCCATCAAGGTGCTCCAGAAGGAGCAGCAGCAGTGGAAGGGCACCAATCCAGCCGAGTACGAGAAGCGCATCGCCGAGCTCCAGGCCAAGCTGCTCGCGGCCAACAACAAAGCCGAAGAAGAGCGACACGAAAAGGTGCGTCTCCAGGACGAGCTCGACTTTGTCAAGCGCCGGGGCCCACCACCGGGCGATGCCAGCCGCGGCGACGACACGTCCGCCACGTCGCTCGGCGACTCGACGCGCTTGCGCCAACGTATCGATGCGCTGCGCGACGAGCACGAGGACGAAAAGTACGAGCTGCGCAGGGAGCGCGACGAGGTGCAGGAGCAGCTCGAGCTCGCGCGCGACGAGATCGACCGTCTGCGCTCGGACCAGCGCCGTGCCTCTTCGCCCGCCGAGACGTCGCACTACCAGCGCAACATCGACAACTTGGAACAGCAGCTTACGGCGCACAAGACCGAGAATGCAAAGATGCTCGAGCGCCATGCGCAGCTCGTGGCGGACATCGAGCAGCACAAGGACGAGCTGTACGAGCTGCGCTCTTCGGAGGAGGCGTTGCAGCGCGAGCTCGACGTGGCGAATCAGAGGCTCGAGCATGCCAACATCACGCAGGAGGACGAGGCGGTCCGCTTCGCCGAGGCCGAGCGCCTGGCTGCGGACAGGTATCAGGACCAGATCGACAAGCTGCGTGACGAGCTCGCGTCGGCACAGCTCCAGATCGACGGCAAGGAGGCCGAGCTGGAAAAGCTCGATGCCGAACTGCAAGATCTCACCGCCAAGGTCGCCGATCTGGAATACGAGCTGCGTCAAGCCGAAACGCTGCTGGAAGAGCAAAAAGTGCAGCTCGAAGGCGTCGAGGCCGAAGCGGACGAGCTCGACCGCCAGGTGCAGGCCTTCAAGCAGGAGGCGGACGAGCTGCGCGCCGAGGCGGACGAGCTGCACAGGGAGCTCGAGGCCAAAGACGCCGACCTGGCCGAGACGAACAAGGAGATGCAGGAGATGTCCAACCGCATGTTTGGCCTTGAGGAGGAGCTCGAGGCGCGCGCCGACGAGATCAAGCAGCTCGACGAAGAGATCGCCAAGGTCGAGGAGGCGCTGCAGCAGGCGAACGAGAAGCACGAGCGGTACACGGGCGTGCTGAAGGACAAGCTTGCCGTAGCGGCGCAGGAGCTGAGTGGCACGCAGGGTCAGCTGGAAGCGACGCTGGGCGAGCTCGAGGCGATGCGCGACGAGGCAGATTCGTACGCTCGCGAGGTGGAGCAGCTCACGGCGGAGCGGGCGCGCTTGGAGGAGCTGAACGCCAAGCTGGATGCGAAAGTTTCCGACGTCGTCGAGGACCTCAAAGCCGAGGAGCGGGCGCTGGACGATGCGCACGCCGAATGGGAGCGCAAGCTGGAAGAGACCGAAGAGCGCATGGCGCGCATGGTGCGCGACAAGGACGACGCCATCGTCGCGCTCGAGAAGGAACTCAACCAGATGGAGGACGACCTGGCCACGCGCAAGGCGGACGTGCAGACGCTGCAGGACGCACTGCGCGCCAAGGAAAACGAGTCGTTCCGCATGGGCCAGAGCTCGGCCAACGACAAGTACAGTCTCGAGCTCGAGATCGACCGGCTCAAGCGCGACCTCGCGCGGTGCGAGGACGATCTCGCGCGCGCACGCAAGGAGCTCGACCGCAAGGACGACGCGCTGCGCCACAAGGAGGACACGCTGGCGCAGCTGCATGCGGAGCTGCGCGAGGCGCAGGCCAAGCTGGCGAGCGAGATGCAGACGCACCTCGGGCTGGCGGAGCGCTTCGAGGCGCAGCAGGGTGCGATGCGCGCCGAGAGGAAGGAGCTCGACGCGGCGCGCGCCAAGGTGGAGCAGCTCGAGTACGAGCTCAACGACGGCGAGCGCGCGACGCTGCGCACGGAGCAGGCGACGCGCGATGCGCTCAACCAGCGCAACACGCTGCTGCTCACCATCTACCAGCAGATGGGCAAGATCCTGGCGTCGTCCACCACCGATGGCTCGTCGACGCCGCGCAAACGCGACGCGGAGCTCAAGCCGTTCACCAACTTTGACGTGTTCCACGCGAGCCTGCTCGGGCGGCTGCGGCGCGTGTTCGACACGCAGCTCGGCGTGGACCAGAAGGCCAAGGAGCTGGAGAGCAAGCTGCTGGACAAGTACACGGCGCTCAAGCGGCAGCAGGACACGCGCTTCCGCCAGATCGACCGGTTCGAGGCTTCCGTCAAAGTGGCGGCGGACAAGCAGGCGCAGTGGCGCCAGCGGCTCGTGTCGAAGCAGGCCGAGCTCGATGCGGTCAAGGCGACCAACGCCGAGCTGCTGCAGCAGATCTCGTCGCTCAAGACGCGCTCCTCGCTCTCTACTCCAGGGGACAACAACAAGCTCACGGCGCTCACTACGCGCGCCAACACCGCCGAGCGCCGCCTTGCCACCGCGCTGACGCAGGCGTCGCAGGCCGAAGACAGGCTCGCAGAGGCCAAGGTCAAGTACGGCGAGGGCGAGGGCAAGTGGGCCGCGCGCATCAAGGAGCTCGAGCTGCGCTGCAAGGCGGCCGAGGAGCGCGTCAAGCGCGAACGCCAGGGCGCCAAGGAGCGCGTCGCCGAGCTCGAGGACATCCGCCGCAAGCTCGAGAAGGACCTCGAGGCCGCGACCAAGCGCAACAGGGTCGTCGGCGAGCTGCACGCGAATGTGCGCAGCATTCAGTGATGCCGAGGCTCTTTTCTTCTGGTGCTTGTTCAGGGAGTTTGCGATTTTCTCCTTCCCGCTAATGTGTGTAGACCTTGTCATGCTATGGATATGTATTTTTACGGCCTCGCCTCCTCCGCTCGACCCCAGCTCGAAGACCGTGCTCTGAGGGAAGCCCCATCCGACAACGAAATGATGCGCAAGACCGCCACGAGACACAGTCGCAAATCGTGCGAATCTGTAGACGAATATATATGAAACCTGGGTCAGTCTTGGCAGCACGCTGCTTTGGCACAGTGGTTAGCGCAACGCCTTTACAATTCCAAACGCCTCTACAGTGTTTCGGCGTAGGTCACAGGTTCGAACCCTGTAAGCAGCATTCCATTTTGATTTCGATTCTTTTTTTGTTCCCGTGCTCAACCTCGTCATCACCATGACAGGCTAGTCGGCGCTCTTTTGCACCGACACACGAGCTGCCTTGCGCACATGGAATGTCGAGAAGCACACATGCATGAAGCAACGAATGATGCGCCGAGCCGAGAAGCTCTTACTCCCAGCCGAGCACTGACAGTGCAGCTCCACACACCCCACCCTCGTTCATCTCACAACACCGCTTCACTCTGCTCGACGCTGCTGCCTCACACGCGCTGGACATCATACGATTCGTTCGCATTCAAACTCAAGGAGATTTAAACATGGGCATTTCGGACAACGCTTTCGTGATCCAGCGTGAGGTTCTGTGCACGGCACGGCACGGCTTCAGCCGCACGTGCACGGCTCCGACGCCGCTTATGCCTGGTACGTGGAAGCGGAGACGTTGCCGCCGCGGCCGGTCCAGTTGATGTGGATGTCCTGGCCCTCGGGCAGCTTGTCGCTGGCGTACTGGGGCAGCACACGGAAGGTGTGGGCGCCAAAGTAGTCGCGCTGGGCCTGGAGCAGGTTGGCGGGGAGCAGCTCGCGACGGTAGCCGTCGAAGAAGGCGAGCGCGGTGGAGAAGGCCGGAGTGGGGATGCCCCACAGGATGGCCTGGGCGACGACGCGGCGCCAGCCCTCCTGGGCATTGTGGATGGCCTTGTTGAAGAAGTCGTCGAACAGCAGGTTCTCGAGCTCCGGGTTCTTGCGGAACGCGGCGGTGATGTCCTTGAGGAAGACGGAGCGGATGATGCAGCCTCCGCGCCACATGAGCGCGATCGAGGGGTTGTTGAGCTTCCAGTCGTACTCCTTGGCCGCCTCGCGCATGAGCATGAAGCCCTGGGCGTACGAGACAATCTTGGAGGCGTACAGAGCCTGCTCGAGGTCGGCGATGAACTGCTCCTTGTTGCCCTCGAACGGCTTGATCTGCGGGCCGCCGAGCACCTTGGAGGCACGCGTGCGCTCGCCCTTGAGCGACGAGAGGCAGCGCGCAAACACGGCCTCGCCGATCAGCGTGACGGGCTGGCCGAGGTCGAGAGCGTTGATGGCGGTCCACTTGCCCGTACCCTTCTGTCCGGCCGAGTCGAGGATCTTGGTGAGCAGGGGCTTGCCGTCCTCGTCGTTGTACTTGAGAATGTCGCGGGTGATCTCGATGAGGAACGAGTCGAGCACACCGGTGTTCCACTTGGTAAAGATGTCACCGATCTCGGCCTCGTGGAGACCGAGGCCGTGCTTGAGGATGTCGTAGGCCTCGCAGATGAGCTGCATGTCACCGTACTCGATACCGTTGTGCACCATCTTGACGTAGTGGCCGGCACCGGTCTGGCCGACCCAGTCACAGCAGGGCTCACCGTCCGACTGGGCAGCGGTCTTCTGGAAGATCTCCTTGATGTGGGGCCAGGCGGCGTCCGAGCCACCGGGCATGAGCGAAGGGCCGTGACGGGCACCCTCCTCACCACCCGAGACACCGGAGCCAACAAAGAGGATTCCCTTGGCCTCGAGCTCCTTGCAGCGGCGGATCGAGTCGGGGTAGTGCGAGTTACCGCCGTCAATGATGATGTCGCCCTCCTCGAGGTGGGGGACGAGCTGCTCAATGAAGGCGTCGACGGCGGGACCGGCCTTGACGAGGAGGATCATCTTGCGGGGGCGCTTGAGCTTGGCGACAAACTCCTCGATCGACTTGGCGCCAACGACGTTGGTGCCTGTCGCACAAAATTGCACATCGATCAAAAATCAGCGAGATTGGGCCGAAGCAAGGGAAAGGAGGAGAGGCAGCAGAGATGTCAGAAACGTGTCTTCTTTCAGCGAGATTGGGACCATTCTTCAGGCCATCCTGAGCACCCAGACTACGCCTGAACGCAACTCCTTCGAGCGCTTTGCTCAGAGAAGCAGCCATGGGTTGCTCCAGGGTCCTGGTGGTGCTTTGAAACTTACCCTTGGCCTCGTTGGCAAGGAAGTCGTCCACCTTGCTGGTGGTACGGTTGTAGGCGCAGACAGTGAATCCCTTGTCTGTAGAGATTGGACGGAAGCTCAGAAGAGGTCAGTGTCACATTCCTCTTGCGCAGTAGAGACGGCGATCCAAACTGTCAAGAAGCAGCAAAAGCTCTGCTCTTGAACCGAGTCAGTTCGTATCAGAAACGTACCGTTCATGTTGAGGATCAAGTTCTGACCCATGACGGCAAGGCCGATGAGGCCGATATCGGCGCTGCAAGAGAGGGGAAAAAATGATCTCGGGTCAGTAACTTCATCCTGATGAGCGGGAATGCGGACACCTTGCTACGATGGCGAGCAACAGAATACTTACACAGCTTGGGACGACATGGTAAGCTGGGCGGCAAGCGAAGAGATGCGAGTCCTGGCTACGGAGAGAATCCTTGCAAACTGCTTCAAGTAGCAAAGGGCAAAGGAAGGGGAGGAGAGAGATGGTTGAAGAGAGAAGACAAGAGTGAAAGCTTCGGTGACAGAGACAAAGATGTGGGATGGTGTCAAGGCGCGGGCTGGCTGGCTCACAAGAAGAAAGAAAGCGGTCCGAAGGCGCGGGCTGACGAACGTCCACTCGCTGAGGCTGACAAGTGGAGAGCGCTGAGCGAGCGAGCAAAAGAGCACAGTCACGCAGTCACAGAGCTCTGAGCGCACGGACACGGTCGAACTGCCGTCTGTCTGCGTTAGGTCCGTTGGTCCGTTTGTCTGTCTGTCTGCTCTTGAGCCCGAGATCGATTTTCCAACAAGCTGAGATTATTTTTTGATCGCAACTTTTCCACGCTCTTCTGCCCTGCGCTCAGACCGCGCAGATCACACTCCGTCAACACAGAGAAACACGCACTCAAGACGCGCGTAATCTAACCGTGCGATTTCAAGATACGACTCTGCTCTGCCCTACGCTGGCGAAGACCACCATCCAGCCGACGACCGTTATCGAATCAATCCACATCAAGGCAGAGATAGCGTAGATAGTGAGCGGGAGGGCACTTGGCATTCAGACACCGCTCCCAGCCATGGCTTGCTGGGAATTTCAAAATGTATATCTGCCTGGCCTCGAACGAAGCAAGGTCAAGAAGAGGAGCAGAAGCGGAGACTTGGCAAGCAGATCATCAGATTACGCTTTGCTCTCGAGCTCATCTCGCAGCAAGAGATGGATGATGGGATCCAAAAGGCTGCATCGCTTTCTTCGCTCGCTTATTCCCGAACATCGTTGCGACATGCTCTTCCACCCCAAAATCACACTCGAGATGATCGAGCTGCAACTGCGCTTCAGAGTCCATTCGAGCAATGTGCCCAAGTCACGACTCACACACTCTGTGCAGCCATACGAGAGCGGGTCTACTGAACAAACCAACAAAAGCCGATCCAGGCACCAGAAAGGGAAAACTTCGTCCAAACCGGTCCGGAGATCCTCCTTGGCTTTCGAGCTGCAAGATGATGCTCTCTCTGATCGATCGATAATGCGCGATGAAACCGACTGCGATTCTGTGATTTTCCTGCCGCGATTCCCCACCAGACCCGGTCGGACAGCGGTCTAACAAACTTCCAAAAAACTCGTCCGCGTCTGACCGGACCGGCATCCCCACAACCCTCCGCGGGGTCCCAGTTCTTCCATTAGCAACGAGGCCGGTGCTGCCTCACTTGTTCTCTCCTGCCGCCGCATGCGTGGGACTCACTCAAAGCTGCAGCAAAGGCTCTACAGGCCGTCGACGAACCGACAGATGCTCTGGACCCTTGCATGTTCGAAGAGATCTCCGAAGCAGTGCAGAGATCACCGCCGTCTGTGGGGGATGACAAGATCTTCGCAAAAGTCTCTCCTCAACACATCCGCTTCATCGCTTGGACACAAGACAATTGAATACATTCCCGATGAGTTGCGGTGCGAATTTCGGACACAGGGAGGAAAGCCAATGAACGGTAGAATACAGCGCATCGTGTCAAGGCACGACGCTTTTTTGGGGGGGTTAGTGGTGTTCCACACAAACGACGAAGCGACAGTAAGAAGGTCTGAACGCGATCAAGTCGACTTGGTCTTGACGCAGAGCAACCCGATCGAGCCTCCAAAGCCAAACGCCAACGCAGTCTCCTGGTGCTGAGGCGTCGCAAACCCTCGAACAGGATGCAAGCGCGAGAACGACAGTGCATCGTCAAACAGCACGTCTTGCGACGCCCTGCCAGCCCTAGACCGTTGCAGAGAGGCTCGAGAGCCATCGTGATCCGATTCGAGGAGCAGCGGCTGACGAGGCACAATCAGCTCGCCACCACGCCCCAGCACCAGCTCTTCGCGCAGGTCCATCGCCCACCACTCCCACCGGCTCTGGCCCCAGCTTCGTTGCGCTCGACCGACACCAACCAGCATGCTGCCACCTCCCGAGGCAAAGCTCCCGCCCCTCTGGCAGCGCACCCAGCCGAGCAGTCTCAGCTGGCGGTCGTCCGCCTTCTGCGTAGCGTTGCCGGGTGGAGGCACATTGACAGAAACCGAAAGGCTTGACGAAGCTGCAAGCGTCTGAGGCGTGCTGCCCTCGCCCAACGCACTCGCACCGCTGCGATCGCGGACGTGAGCACTTGCGCGACGCAGCCTCGACGCAGATCCGTGCGAAGACATGGGATACGACAGCGGATTCGCGAGCTCCGCGGCGGGACTCGGAGGCGTCGAGGCGTCGGCCCAGAAGTTGGCCGCATTCGAGCTCGAGCCATTCGGGGTGCGGATACGCAGCGGTGAGCCCGAGGGGAAAGCGCCCAGATTGCTGTGGATCGACCCGCTCTTCTCCATCGCTGCTGATGCGGCCGCGGTGGCTCCAGTGGAAACGAAAAGCAGAGATGCTCGGCCTGTCGTCTGTGCGATGAACGTCGGAGTGTGGGCATCGCCCGCGTCGATCGTCGACAGGCTAGTCACGGCTCCATCGTCCAAGTCGACGCTGCTGATGCTCTCGGCGGTCTCAAAGTCGATCAACTGCAATCTGCCGTTGGCAAAGCCGAGCAGAA